TCAACATTTAAGAAAAGGCCCTAAAAAAAAAAAAAAAAAAAAAAGGAAAAGGCCCTATTTTTTTTTTTATGAGAGCTTTATGCTTCCTCCCCAAAGCTCCAAAGGATTTGCTCAATCAAGAGTGTCTAGACTCTGTCCTTGCCCTGCAGTATAAGATGACATCACTACAAAGAGTCCCAGCTCTTATGAGATTAAAATCCACAACGTGAGAATGACTTTACATAACAATGGGTATTACTCTTCACTGCATGGGAAGACAAAAACATAGCAGCTAGTAAATATGTTGAGTGAACACAGCAGCTAGGAAATATGTTGAAATACCCAGAATATAGTCTCAAAAAAGGATCCTATGACAACTCGTTATCCACACAAAAATATAAGTATGCAAATATTCCCACAGGCTCTGCCAATGAGATCCACACATCAGCTCTGCACTGTCTTTTCTGGCCGCTGAGGAAGCCGGCAACCAGTCAGGCCAACAAGACCCTACTAGGCAGATGGAGAGATGTGGCCCGTGGGCTCGAGAGCCATGTGGCGGTCCATCGACTCTGATGGTCCAAGAGGTAAGGCAACTTCTTCATTCATTTCCAAGAAAGCACCGGTCTCTTTGGGAGAAGGGGATTTCCTTTTATGACAGCCTTCTGTACAACCTGGGTTCCTTTCTCTGTGTTTATTCTTCAGTATCCTCTTGTACACTTTATATGCTAGGTGTTAAAACATACACATATTAAAAAAATCACTTTAGCAAAGACTATAATTTGGTGACTTTGTGTAGTTGTCAATACTTTGAGAGTTTGTTTACTTTGGGTCATAGATGTATAGATGTATAGAGGAAACGGAAGGGAAAACAAGAGGAAACTATGAAACCAAATAATTCAGGGTAGCAAAATGGCTGTTTCTGTTTGGAATAAACCATTCATGATTGACTTATTCATCAGGTTACTGACCGCTCATCCATTCATTCATCCATTCAGTCTGTCAGTCAGCAATTCCTGTGGTGTGTTTTCTATGAGTCAGGTGCTCTCTTGGGTGCTGGAAGATTGCTGGGTATGAGCCAGACATGTTCCTTCCTTCATGGTCTGACCACAAGAAGGAATTAAAACTTGAGTCTAAGTCCAGGAGTTTCATTCTGCTAGGATTTCTCTTATCTTGTGGGAAAATTAATCCCCAAATATTCCTTATATTGATTGTTACATCAGTAATGATTGAGCCTTACTCAGAACCTCCTCCCTGACAACAATAAAAATTTACAATGGCCCAAGATTAAAATACATTTGTGTGTGTACTTTATTGATCCATGTATATTTTTTAAATTGACCTTCTGTGAACCTACATAATAATTGACTCTGAAAAGATGTATATTAGGCTATATAGATAGGTGTGTGTGTGTGTGTGTATGTATATGTGTGTATAATTTCAATATCTGTGTATGTACTGTATTCCATAAGTGAAAAATATATCACAGCCATTCAGCACAATTCTTAGTCACAGACGCACTGTGAAATAACTTGATATTTGGCTCTGGATGAAACATAACAAGTGTCATTTTTGAGATAAATGATTGCTCATGGAGACTTATCAAATCAGACATTTAAGGTCTGATAGTGCATTGTTTTGTGTGGAGCATACTTGTTTACAATTATAAGCGCATTTTCACATGATTTTTAATATTTTCCTGTGAAACTTCCACTTGTGGCAAAGGATCTTGTTTTGGCATTCTCTTTTCGCCAAAAATTGTCAGGCTGAAAATGTATCCCAAGGGCAGCACATGCATGTTTGGACTGAAACAGGAGTTGGTAAGTTGGGTCAACAATTTTCAATCACGTCTACCCAATAGGGAGCTCTACCCACCTACAATAATGAGAATTCCATTCAACACCTGGAAGAGTCCATAGGCCAATGGGAAGCTAAGCATCTGGACCAACTGCTTGGCACTGAAAGATAACTGGAGCATCGTGAAGCACATCTGGATGTTCTGAGCTCCAGTCTCTAAGGAAATCGTCCTGCACCTACCGATGAAAAATGTTTTCAAGAGTTACACACTAGGAATAAGGACTATTCTTAAATGCTCTCTTACATAGAGCAATACATGTAAGCTAGGAGCTCAGGTCACTAAAAATATTTACTCATTCCATAGTTCTTTGTGGAGTACCTACTCTGTAGGTGGTCTCTGGAGAGGAACTTGAGAGGAGGGCCTTATGAAACCTAACCTAGGAATCTGAAAAGTCAAGACATATACACAAGGAAGGCTCCATAGCAATACCAGGCGAAGTGTGATGGAGGGTAACGAAGATGCTGTAGAAATTCAGAAAAGGGGCGTCAGAAAAGTGGTTAGAGAAGGCTTCACAGGGGAACAGTGGGATTAAAGAACGGAAAGAGGGGAAGAGGCATTTAATATGGGACAGTGATTGAAATTAAAGTTCTCGGGACAGGGCCAGCCGAGAGGCTCAGTTGGTTAAGAGCTCGCTCAAGAGGGCAAGCTCTGAGCAACAGTGTCGCTGGTTTGATTCCCAGCCTGAGCTGAGCTGCCGCTGAGTTGCCAACAGGTGGCAGGATGGGTCAGCTAAAAAAAATAAAATAAAATAAAATAATAAAATAAAATAAAGTTCCCGGGACAGGTACGAGCTTGGTCTATTCAGGAGCATTGCACATGCTGGAAGTCCATTTGTGTGGAGCGGAGGATTGGAAGAGGTGACAATCGAAAGTTGAGTTAGAGATATGAAACAGTATAAACCAAACAACACTTGAAAGTAAACACAAAAACTTTAAATGAAAACCAAATGTCTAAAATAGTTTCTTTGGTGAAAGGATTTTGTAATAAGTTTTTTCTACTTTCACTTTTCTATATTTTTTTTGGTTTTCTAATTGCAAAACAAAAAAATAAGCCTCACTTGAAAAAGAAAAACCAGGAGGGAGAAAAAGACAGACATAGGCAGGACCTTGGGGGCTGGGCTAAGCAGTTTCATGTCTCCAGTTTATAAAAGGAGTCTTTTGGTTTTTACAGATGCAAGTAAAGAGAGAAAAGAGGTTTCCAAAGATAAACCAGCACCTCTATGCAAGCTGGATTGGAATGAGGAGGTAAGAAGGGTGTGTAAAGTGGGAGTGAAAACAGTGTCACTGGGGCAGGACAAGTTCTGTGGCTCAATTTTACTTCTAGTTACCCTGTTGTTCGCTATGCTTTCTTCACACTAGCCTCACTTCTTTCACACCCCTGCCAATAAATCGATATGATTAAGCTACAAGCTAGACCTCACACCTGGACCATTCCCTAGGCAAGTGTACTATCTCTGTCCTGATATTTCTCAAGCCCTCAGGTGTGAAAAAAGTGAGGTTGTTGACTACACTTTGCTATAGGAATACTTGCTCTGCAGATCCAATTCTATTTCAACCACTCATCAGCCTGTGTTCCTAATTACTGACTTTGGAAACAATCCAGATCCAATTCCTATCACATGTTCTGAACTTAGTCAAGTTCCTTAACTTCTCTGAAGGGTTTGCTCATCTGCAGAATGAGGTACTGATAGTCTCTACCTCTCAGGCTTGTAGTAAGAAGTAAATGAGATACAGTTGGCGGAACCTCACCCAGTACTTGGTAGAATCCTAAAAGTTCTCCCAAGTGAACTGGAAACAGCATAAAGCTAATAAAAAATTTCCCAAACTCCACCTTTGGAATTCAACTGCATAGCTTACTTTTCTTCAATAATTCTTTTCTGATTTTAAAAGTAGTACATACTCATTGAAAAACATAGAAAGTATACCAAGGAAATATTAAGCAACTACAATTATTCTTAATCCTACTACTCAAAATACACACTATTAGCATATGGTGTAACTCTTCCATGCGTAAAATTCTTTTGCTTTCTTCTACAATACGGGAACCAAAATGCATACTGTTTCCATTCTTTTTAACTCAAATTTATCTCTTAAGTATTTTCCAAAAGCATTAAAATTGACACATCATGTTCCCTCACATAGCCACATCATGAATTAAATATCTCCTTATTGTTAGATATTTAAATTGTTTCTATTTTTTATATTTATAAATAACACTGCAGTTAACATCTTTGCACATCAATATTCATGCACTTATCTGATAGTGCTAGCTTCAGGACAGAGTTCTAGAAGTAAAATCACTGAGTTAGCAGCTAAAAATATTTATAAGGCTATTGATATGATTAAATTGCCTTTCAGAGAATTTATGCCAATTTATGTTCTCCCCAACAACATATGATAATGCTCATCTCATCTATATGCATACAACATGAAATATTATCATTTTTAATATTTCACAGAATTTATAAATTATATGCCCCAACTTGTAATGACAATATTTAAGATAAATTTCTATATTATTTCCCAAGTTTATCCTTTCTCCTTCTGCCCCTTATAATTAGCATTTTTTTAGAAATTTGGCACAAACAATGGATAAATGCTTTAGCTCTTGAATCTTCTCGCGCATGTCCTAGAATGATCTCTATAGTTAGTGAAACCATCATCGCACCCCTCCTATTCAACTACTAGACTATGAAGAGAAAAGTGTCCAGATTATAAATGGTATTAACACCCCAATCCTAATTTCATAGATTACAAATTCTCATCAATTTGGCCTTTGCTTTCATTTACATTAAGAATTACTATGATCTTTTCACCATCTTTAGGATGAGCTGTCTTGTTCCATCTACCTTGTAAGTCAAAACTCTTTGTGTTTCCAACCCCAGCTAGGCAGCAAAACCTGCCAATGGCAGTGTGTTTAATCTATCCTTCTCAAAAATGTTTATGGAGTGCTGGCCGAGTGGCTCAGCAGGTTAAGAGCTCACTTGGGATCACCAGCTCTGAGCAGCAGGGCCCCAGTTCTGATCCCACATGAGGGCCAGTGATGCAGCGCCTTCTACAGCTAAGATGATGAACAATAGCTCGACCTGGAGCTGGGCTGCTGTGAGTCGCCAGCGACGGTGTAGGCTGCAGCAGAGCTGCAGTGGGCTGTCATGAGCTACATGAGTGGCTGGCAGCCAGCGTGAGCGGCTGGTAGCTGGTGTGAGCTACTGGGAGCCGCTGTGAGCAGTCGACCAATGACCGGCGACTGATTGCCTCACCCAGGAAGAGCACAATGATCACCATACCAACATGGGCCAGTGAAGCGACGTCCTCCACAACTAGACTGAAGAACAAAACAGCAATTTGTCTACCTGTCTGTTCCCCTTCCCTGACTCCCCAACACTGTTACCCTTCCCCCAATTCCCCAATAAAATCTTTAAAAGAAAAAAAGTTTATGGATAATTTAACTATACCTCTGCCAAGATTGGTGGGTAAGAAATGCCAGCAGAAAGCCCATGACATGGCCAATCAAAGGAAAGATGAAACTGATGGTCAGTAGGGTGATGTCTGGATTCCAAGAGTCTTTCGCCAGCACCACACCAGCAACTGCAACCACCAAAAGGATGACTGCACCAACAGTGGCCCCAATCTGAAGCAAACCAATAAAATAAGTACACATAAGCATCCTGGTTTTTTTGTTCTATGAGGTAAAGTCCATCACCACTCTAAAAAGCTTGGAAACCAGAAGTTGTAGAACAAAGAGAAGACCTAGAGACCACCAAATTCAGTCTCATTTTATAGAGGATCAACCTGAAGTCCAAAGTGGGCAAGTATCCTGGCTAAGCTAGAAGTTGGTAAGGCTCAACACAAATCTAAGTTTTCTTAGTTCATGATCAGTATCTTCTCCTTTCAAGGAGAGGATTTGGCCAGAAGGATCGGGTAGTAAAAGTTTTCATGGATAGGACCAATCTGTGAAATCTGACAATAAGTGTCCAACACCCCTACACACACCTCTTGACACCTCTCGCTGACCTCTTGTTGGAGATCTACCCTGCCTGACCATCTGCCACTCTCTTCCCGCCAACCTTCAACCACCAGTGGCTTCTTTCTGCTTTGATCCCTGCCCTTCTCTCCTCCAAATGAAATTTACCCATCCTTCATTAGACAATCTGAGCTAATATTAATGTAATATGAAAGGTACCAACAGATAGCTTCATCCTCTCCCAAAGGCATACTGTCTGTTACTTTCCTTGTTTAGGAGAAACAAGCAAAAAAATTGTTTCCAGTGGTTTGAATTTTAGATCAGGGAGGAAAGAAGCAAGACCTAAAATATTTGGGGGAAATTAGGATCTTGGCAAGCTCCCATTCACGCCATGGGGAAACAAAACAAAACAAAAACCACTCAATGTACCATAGATGTGTCTGGGGGTTATTTTTACTGCCCAAATATAGTGACAGTCTGGGCCCCTACCTCACGGGAAGATGATGGAACACACAAAGAAGTCCTCTGATTGTAAAAATCTCTCTTCATCTCTCTACCAAAAAACAGGATTTAAAACTTTAAAATTCATCAAAAGCAATTTGTCTGAAAATGAATCAGATCTAAAATTAAAAAAGGACTAGGAACAGAAAATGCAGATATACCAAAATAATGATTAAGTGGTCATAGTTTTTTTACTAAGGTGCTCTAGAATATTTATGCATATTATTAAATATTTTCTGCCACAAATTCTATGGAATAGCCAAAGGAAAGGGGTTTTAAATCTGCTCTTTACAGATAACAAAGCTGACATACAGAAAATTTATCTGATTTCTCCATGGACACTGACAGACTAATAGAGGATTTGGAAACACCAAAATCATGATTTGTGGTTGTTGTTGTTAGGTGGCCTCTTAAAGAAAGTAAAGATAGAATACTTGAAAAGTAAGAGGGCCCCATGATCATACTCCCTCTTCGTGTTTTATAAACAAAATTATGAGCATACACTGACTGCCACATCGGAAATTTTCTCAGAGCTAACAGTCACTCATGTGCAATGTAAACATGTAACATGGAGGACTTCCTCCAGCTTTCTGTGCGCCAGTGGATTTGTCTGCTTGTGAACCCCTCTCCTTGCGTTTCTCATCTCATTGGAGGAATGGTGGGAGTTGTTCTGTCTTGTGCCACACTGGGAAAGCAGCATCCATTTATGCAGGCAAACAGACTGGCTGCCTTCCCTCAGAGAGAGCCAAACAGCAAGAGCTTAAACTGAACCAAACCATAAACCCCAAACTCCAATCAACTGAGATGTATTTGCTGACACTCCAGTCAGCGCCAAATGTTTATTTCTTTATAAACATAAAATATAATGAAACCACTTAAAACTTTTGAAGCACATAATACAATCTTGTACCTTCTAAAACAATATGTAATTGGAAAATTGAAAAGCACCCTAGGAGATTAACACCACTGTTGAGAATGCCCTCTCTCTAGCTAGGTATTTTTCAAGGCCGTTTAATAAGGACATATGCTTGTTTCTCCAGCAGACAAAAGACAGCGCTGGAACCTCGAGATGAGATAGTTACCATTACTCCATAGCCAGACTCCTCCATGTGTTCTGGGTGACTTCATTGTGACAGTTATTCATGTGGTATACAAACTACAACTCTAGGAGCTCCCCCAGGAATGCTTCTGAAAGGCAGCCCTTCCTCCTGCTTTTCCACAAAAACAGCCGTCTTCCTAAACACTGGGCTCCATTTCTCACACACATGAAGAGCTTTCACTTTGAGAGCGCCCGTGTGAAGCCTTGAGAATGACGGACCCTGGGTTCTCTCTGACCACACACAGACCCTAGCTTTCCTGTCACTGCAGCCAAGCGTCCCACACTTTCCTGGGTGTCATAAGCCTCGGTTTATGGGCCTAGGGGAGTGACAGAGTAAGGCTTAGAGAAGCAGAGGAAATATGGAGGTTAGATCCAAAAATGCAGGCAGGACACATAAGGAAAATTGCTGGGTGTGGGGCTGTGTTTGACGGGCTTGTGTGTTCCAGGCATGGCCTACGTCTGTCTGCCAAGTCTCTGAGTCTGAGACTGAACTAACTGCCCTGTGCAGCTGCTTACCTTGAGAATTATTTTGGATTGTTTGGGGAATCTATAATTCACATAGACACCGAAGGCCACAGGAATGGTCAGGCACAAAAGGGAAATTCCTGAAGAGAAGAAAAATCTGTCAGACAGTGTCCCCTCTCCTCCTAATTGCCCAGTCCTCAACAATTTTCGTTTTAATTAGATAAAGGCTTTCATTGAAGCTGCATTTTGCTTTTTCTTCCACCTCCAAAATAAAAATTTGTTTTCTAATCTTTGGAAGACAGCCTTTGAAGAGTATATGATACTACTGAATGTCACTTGGTCCATCATTTCTCTCAGAATCCCCCTGACAATCATATGGAATTTTAGAGACAACTGGAAATGTAAAAGGTTAGGAAACAGGAGGACCCTTTGTGGTCTGTGATATTCTTTGGTTCTCTGTATATGGGGTCACCCTCTACAACCACAGCTATTCTTCTCTGTTAGAAGCCAATGTGCCATTTACTTCACTAAGTAAGAATACCTGTTTCAGACATAAAAACAGCATTTGCTACACATACCAAAGCAATTTCTCATATATTTCAAGTGTAGCTAGGTAACCCAAAGGCAGGTTAAAAAAAAATGCCTTTTAATTAACACACGTAAATAAAGGCTTTGAAGGCAGGCTCAATAGAGCAGAGATCTGCTTGCCAATAGGATCCATACACTGACATTTTCCGGTGCCACTTTCCAAGTCTGGCCAAATGCCTGCAATACTGGCTCCAAAGTTAGGTGAGTTGCTCATAATATTTGGGGCTTTAATTTTGTACAAGTGCCTATCAGAATAGATTACCAAAACAGAATATATTAAGTAACTTACTGATCAGAAAAGGTTGCACATAAAATCATGATTTCTAAATTAAGATTTCACTCAAATTTTACAAACCCAATGGTCTCCATCTGTTATTAGGAGATGGCTTTATTTGTGATTTTGAACTATGGGCCATGGGTTGTAAGCCCTCCTCCAAGCGCTTACTTGAGACTCCAGATTGACACTTTAGAGTTCTAAGAATCATAGTTTCTACCAGTTGTCCAAAGACTCTGACCAAACTAAAACAGGCAGGTCATGTCACCAAGTTTGTCTTCTACACCTAGTAAATCCACAGGAGTCTCTAGAAAAAAAGGGCAGAGTTTAATGAGAAATAACAGTCAGGAAAGAAGATAATGAAAGAGATATGGGTATATTTGTGACACGTGGATATACTTTAGTAATCAATAGGTATCATTTATGTTGATCAGTAAAGAAGTCAAGGCTCTCAGGCAATGTCCAAGATGGAGCTTGGGGAACTAAGGTCTCATTAGAGGCACTGTGATCCAGTTAACCTTTTAGTCATACTGAGTCCAATTGCTTTATAGTGAATTATCTAAAGGTTGATTTTTTTTTATTCTTTTAAATAAGTGCATTTTCTGGACCTATTTTCAAAGTGAGCACTTATAGGGGTTAAGAGCTTGGACTTTGTAGTCAGAATTCCGGGGTCAGAATTCCAGCTCTGCCCTTACCAGCTGCATGACCTTGGGCGAGTTACTTAAATTAACCTCTCTAATCCTGAAAAATCGAGGAAATGGAACTAGTAACAGAATTGGTACACTAAGGTTAATTAGAGAATTAAATTAGATGCTATATCTAACAACCTTGCATAAAGGAGGCACATAGTAAACAACAGCTATTATTCTTACTATCACCGTTATTGTTACGATTCCATTTCATAAGCTCATACAGACCTATGCTCTGATATGGAAGGGTCAGCGTCTCCTCAAGATCCCAGGACAAGGTGTAGAGATAAAGGCACAGTGGCATCATTCCCAGGGCAGCCACTGTGGAACAGGTTGTCATACTGATGCTGAAAATAAAATTAAAATAATGAGTAAGAGGGAGAGTCTGAAATGAAGAAGCTAGTCATTACCAAAAGCAATCCCAGTGACACAACTTTTTTTTTTTTAAATTGGAGAACTGTATTTTTCCAGGACCCATCAGCTCCAAGTCAGATAGTTGTTTTAATCTAGTTGTGGAGGGCGCAGCTCAGTGGCCCATCTGGGGATCGAACCAGCAACCTTAGTTTTATGAGCAAGGTGCTCTAACCAACTGAGCTAACAGGCCACCCCCTGGGACACAACTTCTTAGAGATTACGTGGGGCAAGTTACTTGATGCTCACTCCTGTCTTATTATTCAACAAATAATGGCTGTGCTTGTGGTCTAGAAAAAGATTTCCAGCTCTTGATATCCATCAATTAACTCATATTTACTTGATGATTTATTTGCCTTAAACATTTTGCTTGGCACTATAAGGATATTTTTCCCTTATATAGTTTTTTTGTATTAAGATATAATTCATAGACCACGAAATTCATCAGTTTAAAGTGTTTTTAGTATAGTCACAAAATTATCCAACAATAGCACTATTGCCAGAATATTTTCATCACCTCAAAAAGAAACCCCACCCCATTAGCAGTCACTCCTCATCCCTTTCTTTTCCCAGGCCCTGGCAACCAACAAGCAATCTACTTTATGTCTATAGGATTGCCCAATCTGGACGTTTCCTATGAACACAATTATACAGTAATGTGTCCTTTTTTGTCTGGCTGGCTTATTTCACTTGACATAATGTTTTCAAGGTTCATCCATGTTTGAGCATGTATCAGTCATAGTTCAGTCCTTTTTATGACTCAATAGTATCTTGATTACTGTACTTTTATTGCAATGTGTGAAATAAGTTATTGCTTCATAAATGTGTAATATATTTTTATTTTTTCCAAATATGTAAGGTCTTAATTTTTAAGTCTTTACATTTTTTTAATGGGAAAGAAGCACTTGGTTACACATGAAAATACCCAGCTTTGGTGCAAGGGGAAAGGCATGAGAAAACAGGGACTGGGGTGCAGAGCCTTGGAAGCCCTTCCAGCCCCTCCTGCTCTGACCTGGGGAGAGGAAGAAGAGCAGGCGGTGCATATAGGGAAAGCTCAGACAGAGACGTAGGTGGAGAGCCAGGAGGTTACATTCGTGAAAACCAAGAAAAAAGAGCTTCCAAATGAAGGCAAGATGCCAACAAGAGATCAGGCAGGATGAGAATCCGAGAAGGTAGTGCCATCCAGCCTTCCCCCGATTTTTGTGCCTCCACCCCAAATCTACCCTATCTCCCACCCCCACCTCCAACTCCCAAGCTCAGGCTGTCTTTCCTCCCCATCTGAGACAGACCCAGTGAAAGAATGAATCAGGAACTATAGCAAATGGAAATGAGATCATCTTCAGGCATACTAAATATTTTATCTTTAAACTGCTGGGGGAAAGTACGCAATCTGTTTAATTAAGCACACACAAACTGTTTATAGACACTATGAATGGTCCTCTACCTGATGAGGTGAGGCAAATGGCACATCACACAACACAACCCAAGGGTAGAAAGCAAGACTTCATTCACTTTAACACCAGGCCCAGAAAGTCTGGGGACTTTTTAATATTCATTGTTTAAGTTCTCACGCCAGACTGCCTTGCACATGCTATGTGCCCAGTCTGTGCCCTAGGCACAAATGACTGAGGGAGTGAGAGGTGGACCAGCCCCAACCCACCAAGCAGAGGAAGAAGACCCTTTGTAGGGCTGAGGTCTGTTGCACAGATGACAAGTGTCCTCAGGCATGCATCTTTCTTCCTCATAGTATATATCACCATCTTTCCATCTAATTACCCTCCCTATAAAACAGCGATGATTACTTTAACATTTCCTATCAGAAGAATGTTTATACTTTCAGCAAAGCAGCAATGATATTACTTTAATTAGATTCAAAATATTCCTTCTGCACTCTCATTCATTGCAGGTAAAAATGCAAAATGGCACACCCCCTTGGAGGGAGTTTGGCAATATCTAGCAGAATTACACATGCATTTATTCTCTGACCCAGCAATCCCACGTCTGGAAATCTATCCCAAAGATGCACTGTCAAAACTATGAAAAGACATATTACCCAGCAGTGTCTGGGCAGCAGCATACCAGAAAGTGGAAGCAGAAACTACAAAACCCCTGGAAACTTCCATTTGGAAGTCACACGGTGTCACTTCTGCCACATTTTATTGGTCAAAGCAAGTAGCCAGCCCTGCCCAGGCTCAAGGAATAGGGAAATATGCCCCCCACTCTGGATGGGAGGAGGACCAGACTTATCACATTGCAAAGGAAGGTGCTTATGAGAATGAAAAGACTTGTGGCCATACTTTGCAACCTATCACAAATACTGAAATATTTACAGATAAAATAATACCTGCAGTTTGCCTCAAAAATAATCCACTGGGTAAGTGGGGAGTAGAGATGAAATGCGATGGATCATATGTTTGTAACTGCGGAAGCTGCGTGAAGTGTACAGGGGAGCGGAGAGTTCACAATGCTATTCTACACACTTTTTTATGTATTTGAAATTTTCTACGATAAAAAAATAAATGAAGGCGGCCAGTTAGCTCAATTGGTTAGAGCACAGTGCTCATAACACCAAGGTTGCCAGTTTGATCCCCACATGGGCCACTGAGTTGCCCCCTCCACAACTAGATTGAAACAACTACTCGACTTGGAGCTAATGGGTCCTGGAAAAACACACTGTTCCCCAATCTAAAAAATAAATAAATAAATAAATAAATGTCCCTTCGATCTTTGTGGAGGACTGTGCTACTGTTCTGGTTAGATGAGGTGTTCTCTCTCACATTTTACCTTGATCGAGGCATTGCCCTACATCTACTATCATGCATATGCTGGCATGGGGGCATCTAAAGCATTTCTTACCCAACCCTGGCTGGCTGTGGTCTTTTCCTGCCTCAGTGCTGCTGTGTACCACCTCTATGCTCTTCGAGTGTTCATTCCTGGGATGGAACTAGTAACAGAATTGGTACACTAAGGTTAATTAGAGAATTAAATTAGATGCTATATCTAACAACCTTGCATAAAGGAGGCACATAGTAA